CTTTGACAAGATCCTCCAGATCGCCGATGATCGCGAAGCCGCCCGCGCCAACATGCAGGCCCGCCCCGTCACGGCCCTCGCTGTCCAGAAGCACCTCGACAACTTCGGCCTCGGCGCCGAGTTCGGTACGCACTCGCGCATGCGCGGTCTCTCGGGTGGCCAGAAGGTCAAGGTCGTCCTCGCCGCTGCCATGTGGCTCAACCCGCACATCCTTGTGCTCGATGAACCGACCAACTTCTTGGATCGCGATTCGCTCGGTGCCCTTGCCGGTGCCATCAAGGAGTTCGGCGGTGGTGTCGTGATGATTTCGCACAACCGTGAGTTCACGGATGCGCTCGCCATCGAGACGTGGAACGTCGTCGCCGGTCAGCTCTCGATCGAGGGCCAGGTCGCCGAAGACAAGACCAAGATCGAGCAGATCGACGCCGAGGAGTCGGTCGACGCCTTCGGTAACAAGGTCGTCACCAAGGTCAAGCGAAAGCTCACCCGCAAGGAGCTCAAGGCCAAGCTCAAGGCCAAGAAGGACGCCGAGAAGCGTGGCGAGTACTACTCGGACTCGGACCTTGACGGCTACGAGGAGTAAATGCGCAAGAAGGTCATCGATAGAGAATCTTAGAGCTGCTTAACTACCTATACTTATACATGCGCTATGCTTTCTACATCCTCGTCTCCTTCATTCCATATGACCGTTGAACTTTACCGTTGCCGTCAAGTCGAGAACCTCCGTCCTCTCCGACGGCCAAGTGGCAGCAGCCTTGGCAGTCCACCTTGCGTGAATGTTGATAACAGTCGGCAGCTAGCGCGCAAACTCTCTCATGGGCTAGCAGCTACAGCCCTACGATTTGAGGATTTGAACGCTCGAGCTAATAGCATGGGAAGCCATTGCAAAGTGTGTTCGTTGGCATATGCAGGGTGAGGCAATTCATTTTGTCGGCGCGAGCTCTTCTTTCCGGTTGACAGCCCTTGGACGCAGCGGGATGCGGTGGTTGCTTCTACATCCGTGTCCAAGGTCCGTTCTCGAACCACTTCTGTACTCCCGCCTGCAGTCGGACAACCAATGCCACAAACCACAGCACACAACGCGTCCTATTGTTTCGCCAATGGCTCGATAAGTCCTTCAAATAGACGATTTCTACGTAGCTACGATGCCTGCAGAAGCGATCGGAGTGCGACGGCTTCGTCGCGCTGGGTCGCATCGCTGGCAGCGATCGCGTGGCAGTAGTCCATCGTCTTGGTGAGCGTCACGACCGAGGCCTTGCCGGCGACCAAGACCACTGGCAGCGCACTGACGTGGCACCAAGGGTCGTACTTGCCATACGCGCGGAACCACGCGGCGGCAAACTTGCGGCGCCCGAAGCGAGTGCGCGCGCGAGGTTGGGCATGCATGCGGCAAGAAACGATCGGCTTTGCGGCCACACGACGAGGACGCAGCGGCGAAAGTATGACTCGACGTTCGGTTCCTTGCCTTCACCGTCTTGGACGCGTTCGATCGACAAGTCCAATTTCATCCTGGATCCAACGTCGTTGTTGTGCACGTCACTGTCTCGGTCCAGAGGTCGTCGATCGACGCGTAGTTAGGCCAGTCCTTTCCGTGGTCGTAGGCACCGTACGGGTACCGGTGGAGCCGCGTTCGGTTGTGATGCAGCTGCGCCGGCGACATGCGACAGCAGCCTCCGCGGGCCGTCTCGACCTTGACCACGTGCACGTCCAAAAGACCCGTGGCGTGCAGCACCGAGGTCAAGACGCGGTCTCGGCCTTTGAGCTGGCTATACGACTCGGCAAAGTTGCATTGCGTCTGGAACACGAGCTTTGTCGGCGACGACGCCCACGAGGCAACGGCGGCTTGCGCGCGTGCGATCAGCGCCTGGTTGCCTGGCAGCGCGACAGGTGTGCGTGCAGTCCATGCACTCGTTGGAGCCCCACGCAGGGTCCTTGCCTTGGATCTCGATGCTGTCTGCGATAATATTGAGCTCGCGCCGTGCCACATTTAGCGGGCCATCAGAGCTGAGCAGCGCTGGGCGCTGCGTCATTGGGATGTCCACCGGCGCCGCCGCTGGCTTGTGTTTGCGAGCTACCATTGCGTCACAATGAGAAAATGAAATTGGTCGTCGTCGCTTTGTTATGATTGGCTGCTCTGTTGAAGAGCACGTCCACGTCTCCATACAAATACCAAGTGCATTGATGCTGGCACTTATGGATTGGTCATTGGTCGGTAGTGTTTTGGCCAATGGCATCGCATCATATCCAAGCCTGACCATCGCCACGGATGGCGTTCAACAGCCTGTACACAGCACCTAGCGCGCAGAGCAGCCCTATCCCACGTCGCATCGCTCTCGTTATATACGCAGAGGGTATCGAACGCGATCAAATGTCGTCCTCCTTTGCTGAAGCATCAAGTGGGCGCTTGCGTGCCAGGTATTGTCGGTTATGAAAACATAAATGCGGTGTTTCGAGCGACCATTTTTATCGTTTAGAAATACCACCGCGCGGGCATATCCCAGCCATTGTTTACGCAATCGAATAAAATTCGCAATTAAAACACATACAAACCGCAAGGTATTTGCGGTATGCTGCATTTTATGCAACCACGTGGTGGGTGAGCCAATCGCGGGATTGCATCTCGAACGAGCTTTTTTTCCGCGTCGATCGATGGCCCTCCGACGCGCGGTACAGATCGCCGGCCTCGGCGCCGGCGCCACGGTCGCGGTCGGCGTCGCCGGCCTCTGCATGGACGCGCCGCCGGCCGACGATGGCAGCCCTGACTACCTCGCCAAGCACGCCCAGCACGTCGCGACGCGCGACCGCCTGCCCGAGGTGTTTTACAACGCGGCCCGCGCCACCTTTCTCTTCTACCCCGCGACGCTCGTCGCCAAGGTGTACCTGGGCGCCTTGAACTCGTTCTCGATGCAGAACGAAGACGCGCTTGCCAAGTGGATTCTTGCGCGCCCGCGCCACCGGTCGCTCATCACGGTCACGAACCACTCGTCGACGGTTGATGACCCGGCGCTCTTTTCACGCATGCTGCCGTGGGCGTGCGCGAACCCTCGCGTCTCTCGCTGGGGGCTGTGCAGCCAAGAGTACTGCTACACCAAGGGCCCATTGCTCTCGGCCGTTTTTTACGGCTCCAAGACGCTGCCGATCAAGCGCGGCGCCGGCATTGACCACCCGATGCTCCACGATCTCTTCAAGAAGGTGCAGATGGGCGAGTGGGTCCATGTCTTCCCTGAGGGCAAAATCGTTCAAGGCGGCCGTACGTCCTACCTCCTGCACCGACCGGCTTGACATATAGCTGATTTAGATTTGGGCCAGCGCGACGAGCCAATGCAATCCCAAATCGGGGGGCTCAAGTGGGGCGTCGGGAAGCTCATTGCCCGCGCAGAAGAGACACCCATCGTGGTGCCGATCTACCACCTCGGCCTCGATGCAGTACGTCAGAAACTCGCGATGCTATTCTGTAGCGAAGATTTGTCCCCGTAGGTCATGCCCCAGAACGCGAACCACAAGCTCAAGAGCATGATCCCGACAACGGGCAACCACGTCCATGTGCGCGTTGGCGAGCCCATTTACTTTGACGACCTCTTTGAAAAATACGCCAAGGACCGTGTCCAAGGCGCCGAGGTACGCAAAAAACCATGTCTGCACGCCAGAGGTATCATCTAAAAATGATGTAGGGCCCGGACTCGTGGGTCTCCAAGTCGTCGGAACACGCGCTGTACTCGGACATTACCCGTCGCATTGAACATGCGCTTCTGGCACTCGAAGCACAGTGCTACGAAGACTTGAAGGCGCTCTCGCCGTAATAGACAATAATGATTTTTCTGGCGACCATACAAATATAGTAGTACATCGCTTGCTGCTTGTCAATTGTCGACATCCAAAAGTACACACGCAAAACGGTATCAACATCAACATTTAACGGCTTACTCGAGGGACTGGTTGCAGAGCGGGCACGACGGGTCCCGCGTCGAAGTCGCGAGCGTGAGCGCCCACTTGTCGAGGCACTCGAGGTGAAAGTCGTGCTTGCACTTGGAGAGGAGCCGGAGTACATCGCCCTCGACGTAGTCTTCACAGCAGATGCAGCACGACTCGCTTGGGCCACCTCGAAAGTCATGGAGCTTCTGGACCAGCTCGTTTTTCTCGAGGACGCCTTTTGTGTCGACGCCGCGGAGGCGCAGACGCGCCTTGAGCTCGTGGATGCCAATGTGCTCGAGCGGCTTGAACTCTTCTGTGGGCAGGCCCGAGATCGTCTTGAGCATGCGGTTGTAGCGCTCCGAGTCGACGCTCGGCGCGGCCTCGCTTGGTGGGCCAAAGAGCGTTGAGGCAAACCCGGCGAGGCCGTCGGCGCGGATGACGTCACGGTGGACGTAGAGATGATAGAGCGCATAGAACGCGAGGCCCAGCAGCAGCAAGGTCTCGCCCGAGATCGGGACCGCGCCGCGGCCTAAGAGCGCGGGCAGCAGCTGCACTGCGATGACGAGGCCGATGACGTACGGGTTGCTGCCAGGGCCGACGACGATGAACATGCTCCTGCTGCTGGCGGATTTCGGCTTGCAACAAATTTGTGTCTAAAAAGGGGCCAATCACAGGACAGATGACGCGCTTGTTTCTACGTACGCATGTACGTACTGGCCGTACGCCAAATGTACGTTTCGTACAAACAATGTACGGCGCGTCGCTGGACTTCAAGGAAGCCGACCGACCCGACGTTGCAAGGACCTACCTACGAGCTCCCACCTCGTACGCACTGTATTCGTATTGCAATACTGGTATAGATATACCGGTATTGTTGTTGTAGCTGTAGCCAATTCGTCCACTCGTAAAGCAAGCTCGTAAACACCACTCAATTTTTGGTGCTCAATCCATCGAGGAGAGTCGACGCACGGGGCTGCGGCTGCTTCTTTACGCAGCGGACGCGAAGCTAGCCACGGGACGTCATCTTGGGCGGTAAGATCGGCGACGTATTGTTGGCTGGCTGATTGGCTCGCGCTCTGGCGTTGGTGTGTCGCTAAAATTAGGCCACGTACAAAATCCCAGCGCTTTCCATTCCGTAATCGTACCGAGAGCGCATTCCCACACCATGTACCGCTCGAAGGAGCTCAATAAGAACATCGCCAAGAGCTACCTGAGCGTTGGCGACCCGTACCGCGACCCGCACATCATTGAAGGTAGTGGTTGCACGAGGCGCTGCCACGTCATCATCCTTTTTTTTCAACTAGGCAAGAGCGACCGGCACAAGAGCAAGCAATTCCAGACCGCGCCGGCGAAAGACACGTGCGATGGGAAAGGGTACTTTGACAGGAAGACGTATTCGTCGGACCCGCTCGTCGACGGCGTCATGTACCTCAAGACGCAGCCGCCCGAGACGCGGAAGGCCGGCTTTGGCACCAAAGATGCGAGTCGACGCGACGAGTTTATGAGCCACGTACGCACCGAGCAGTACCGCGAGACACTGCACCGGGAAGATACGATCGCGCAGACCGGTATTGCCAAGCACCGGGCAACGCACCCGGACGAAGAAGACGAGGATGCCGTCGACACCAAGCACCAGTTTCCCGAAGGTCTCAAGGAAACCAAGTTCCTCTACGACATTGGGCGCACCCAAGTGACCGAGTTCAACCAAAAGAGCCACCGGGACACGTTCTACACGCTCCGGACGGGCAACTCGCAGTTCCGGCGCAATAATGGCCACTTCGTGCTCAGCTCCGAGTCCGTCGGCGTCGGCGCGTCGCAAGTCGGCAACAATGGCACCCACGCCCGCAACGCGTGTACGAAGCAATTTTACGACCATAGCCACCTGCACACCTAAACACTCTCTCTAATCTTGAAACACACAACAAAACGATGAGTGATTTGATCACGTTCGCACGTCTTGTACGTTGCCACAAGGTATTCATCATGGACCTGTGGGCTGCAACGCTTTGGTGCGAGGACGCTTCTTGGCTCAAGAGCTCCGCGCCATTCAAATGACGTGCCACCACGCAATCCATGGCCTTAATCAGCGTGACGAGCGCGCGTTCTGCATGGAAAAGGAGTTCGCTTTCGACCAGACGACGATATTGAGCAGGGGTGCTCTCGACAATATCTCGAGTATACTGAATCTATATCGTCGCGAGTTATAGCTACTATCGTCGCAGCAGTAGGGCAGGTCGCTAGACGGGCGGCGACTTCGTGGATTGCAGCAGCTGCGTGTTGCGATCTTGGTGCAATGTCAGAGCGTTGGTCGTTGTACTTTTTTCCCCATATCCAAGCCTATATATTAAATATATTGTATGTTCCATACAAATGTTACGTTATCCACCACGAAAACGCTTTAAAAACAAGCAGCACAACCGATATCTCTTCCGCCAACGCCATCGTCATGAGCGCCAGCAGCAGCAACAACACGAGCGCGCTCTGGCTCGCCCACGAGCACGCCGCCACCGAGGCCATGGCACTGCGCAGCGCGCTCGTCGTCTTCGGCGTCCTCGCGACCCTCTTCGTCTTTGTCGCGGTCCAGCGACGACGCCTCGACGCCACCGACGCGCTCAAGTACGCCAACGCGGTGCGCAAGGCGCAGTTTGAGCGCGTCTCGCACGTGATGAAGAAGCACCGCCAACCGTCGCCCGACGTCGAGGTCGAGCTCGCGCCGCTCATGGACGAGTACGCACTGGTGCACGACGATGCGCTCGAGTAGCGTCAATATATATCAAATGCACTTCTTGCAGGTAATAGTAGTTGCAGTGTATCTGGAGTACGGTCGTCGCCGGCTACACGTGCAGCGGCGCCGCGACCAGCGTGCGTGCAATCGAGAGACCCGTTTGCTCGACGTGCACGCGGTGGTACGCGCTCTTTTCGCCGTCGGCGAACGACGCGGTGACGACCATGTCGCAGCGACCGTCTTGCGGCGCGCCGTCGTCATCGTCGTCATCGTCGCCGCCACTAGTGTGCTTGCTCGGGCGCGCAAATCGGTTGTGGACATGCTTTGTGTAGTGGCTGCTAAAGACGGCGTGGACTTTGGACGTGCCGATGAGCTCGAGGAGCGGAAGGCGAACCTATCGCAACGATGGAAATAGGGATCGCCTTGCATGCAGTGTCGTACGTCGCGGGGCACGTTCCAGGGGGCAGCCGGTGCATTGTTGTTCGAGAGTGTCTCTGCGAAGAGCGTTGGCTCGTCACTCTCCGAGATGTACAACGGGTGGTGGCTCAAGACGCAGAGCACTTGGGCACAGAGCGCGCCGTGCTCGAGCTCCTTCTTCAGCCATGCTACGCATCCCGTGGCATCGACGCGCAACTGCAACGACGACCGTACCGTCTTGGGCCAAGTAGCGCTCGTGCAGGGCATGGTCCGACTCTGCGTGCAGCCACAGCGACGAGTTGACGACAAGGCACTTCATGCCCCCATACCTAGCGTCCAAGAGACGGCATGGGCGATGCTGCCGATTCGTCATACCAGAGCGCGTAATAGTCGTCGCCGTAGTCGGCCGTGTACGCCTCAATGTCGACCGCAGCATGGTCCCCCGGCACAAACACCTACCCGTAGTTGCCTCTTCTCTCTGTGCTGTTGGCATCCGCTTTGTACCAAACGAATGCGCGAGTCCAAGGTCGAGAGACTGGCCTGGAACGCATCGCGCTGGGGGCCATAGTACTTTTGAGAGGGCGAGGCGTGCGTCATGTTGCCCGAGAGCACGAGCAGCGTCGGAAGCGTCTCGTTGAGTGCGAGCAGCGCGTCCCGGAAGAGTGCGAGCTCTATCGCCCAGGACGAGCCTCCCAGCCCGTCATTCTCGGTGGCGGCCGCGGCTCTCCCGAGCGACGGGCCCGACAGCTACGCGCACTCATGGAATCATGCCGTAGAAACGATCCCAGCAACGTACATGTACAAACGTGAACGACTGCTTCCACTCGTTCTGCACGCTGTGGGTGAGACCGACGTAGCCACGCTTGGTCGCATACAGACACCGCCCGAGGCCCATGGTCGAAAAGAAGCGTGGGTACACGTCTAGAGCCCTCCGCGTGACTGACATGGAAGAAACGTCGAGGTCGTACCTGGGTGCTGGAGAAGCTGCATGCGGTTCAGCACGTGCATAAGGCGCGGCTTGCGCGGGTGGGCAAGCGCGACAGCTTGGGCCAAGACGGCGGGCACCTTGTCGCCACCGCCGGCCGCCACGTAGGCGTGGATTTGCTTGGCCGACTCGAAAATGAACTTGTCTTCGAGCGTTGCAAAGGGCGGCGACGTCGACAGGTGCGTCTCAAAGTTGATACCATCAAAGAACTTGTGGGCTACATGGTATAGCGTGAGCGATCGATCGACAAGGCAATAGCGACGACGACCTTTGAGGGCATCAAAGCCGTTGGCGCCAAGTCGGCGTGTTGGGTCGGGCTGCAACAAGGCCGCAATCAAGTCGCGCGCCGGCGCCGATAAAAAAGACGGCACGTCGTAGACGCCGTCTTGGACTTTGAGAAAGCACAAGTACGGAGACCCGCCTTGGAACGGTGTATCGCCTGTCAGGAGCTGGTAGACGATGCAGCCGAGCGCCCAGAGATCACTGCTCGTGTCGACCGCCTTGTTGGCGATCGTTTCGGGCGACATGTACTCTATCGTCGCAATGTATCAGCATCGTCCATCGTCGACTCATGTTACCTGGTGTCCCGACAAAGTTGGGGCCGTTCAGCGCCGGGTCCGAGAGGTTCTTGGCTGTGCCAAAGTCGACAAGCCGCAAATGGCCGTCAACCTTGGACACGATCATGTTTTCCGGCTTCAAATCCCTACGCCATTGATGTGCATTCGTGAAAATGAGAAGAAACGATGGCGTACCGATGCACGATGCGCTGCGACGCGAGGTACTCGAGTGCGTTGACGATATCGGCGGCGTAGAAGCGGGCGAGGCCTTCCGTGCAGCCGACTTGCTTGCCACAGAGCGTGAGCGCGTCCCATAACTCGCCGTTCGCAATGTACTCCATGAGAAAGTACAAGTTGGTCGCGTCTTGGTACGTGTGGTAGAGCCGAATGATGTTGGGATGGCGGAGCGTGTTGAGCACCGCCTTCTCCATATTGACTTCGTTCAGAATGTTTGGGTGGCGGATCTTGAGCCGCATGATGCGCTGCTTCTCAATGACCTTGATCGCAAACTGCTCGCCGGTCGGACGGTGCGTGCCCAGAAAGACCTTGGAAAAGTTGCCTTGGCCGAGCTCCCGCTCCAAGGTAAAGTCCGTCGCCTGTGGCTTCTCGACCGAGTCCTTGACTAGCGCGGCCATAAGTTCTACGGTGGCCTCGTCGACGAGCAGCATGCAGGCGTACCTGTGCTCATCAGCGGTCGCTTGTGGATCTCGCACACGGCTGCCGTCGGCGTCCGTATCCGGATGTTCCAAAATCGAACGTCCACGACTGGTGCGCATCAGATGTGGAATGTGGCGACGTCTGGTGGCACTCATATCTGGGTGGACCGAATCAAAAACTTCCTTCCATTCCAGATTCCATGCCAATCCATGAAACATGTGGTACTCATGTGGCGCCTCACTTTGCCATTTGCTCCGTCTAGCAAACACGTCCGCTTCCACGGCCAGCGCCTGCCCTCAGCACTGCCTCGACGAGGCGCGACCGCCAACCAACCAAGCACCAGACGCCCGGTGACTAACGACTCATCGGTGACCAGCAACCAACGACTTAAGAGCGGCAACGAAAGAAGCAGGACACCGCGAAGTTTAGTTCAAAATAGTTAGTAGAGATGTTCAAAATAGTTAGTAGAGATGTTCAAAATAGTTGAGAGTCTTTTTTTAGTGTCTGACCGGCGCCTTGATCGACAAAATCAAATTCTCGTCGCGCGCAGCAGCGGACGAGCATGAACAGCTACTACGCCGATCACGCTTCCAGCCCTTGCTTCGTTCCGCCCTCGCCAACGACGCGTACCGCCAGTCGGTTTGTCGGCGATGAGGACGCCGGCACTGTCTACGATAACACGTACGTACAGATCATCGGGGGTGGAGACTAGCATGACTAGAAGGGGTCCGTGCGCGAATTTCCATGTCACGACGCGTCGTAGTCATGCTGCTCGGGCTGCGCAGGTTGACCACCAGTACTATCCATCACTGCGTCACAGCGTTGCGCCACACCAGTACGCGGAAATGGCTCCGTGGTCCTCGTATGAGGCACCTCAATCCACGTCGTACTCGGATGCATTCGAGCTGCATGCGGCATCGCAGCACGTGCCACCACCGTACATGCCACAGCAGTACATGCCGACCCCATACGCACCCCAAGCGCTCTTGCCTCCTCAGTACAGCTCTTCGCAGCCGCCACCGTACGAGGCCGGGCGGACGCATCACGCAAGGAGCTCACAGCAACCCACACCATCCCTGCAGGCCCCAGCCATTGCGCCGAGGTACTCGCAGTGTGTCCGAGACGGCGGGGTCAACGTGTAAGGATGCATGTTGAGCTTCTTCGAAGTTGACCCGACTGTAGCATTGCTGCCCCGGTGCGTCGCATTGGAGCGATGCGTTCCAACATTTTGGCGGCCGCCCAAGTTTCGCAAGACGATGGGGCAGCTCGGGCAGCTCAGGAAACCCACGAGCAATGGGTGCGTCGTGACGATGGTGTCATTGATTCATCTTCTTCCGCTCCTATCGGCTCCAACATCGACGAGGATCTCGATCCCAACGCCCCCGTTGTCCATTGCCCCGACGGCTATGTCGACCTTGCAGCAGCGTTGGACATCATTTGTTTGGCGGATGACCGATCGATCAAGCCGACGAAGACCAAGTTTGAAACGTACATCGACCTCAAGGACCGTGTGCAATTACTCGCCGCTGTCAATCAATTTCAAGTCTCGAAGGAGCACCAGTCTTCCATGCGCAAAATCAGGTGCCGAAGCGACAAGTGCCAGTTCCTCGTCCAAGCAAACGTGGGCAAGAAGGGCATCAGCGTCACAGCGGTTGAAAGGCGCAATCTTTACGTGATGTGCTCAAGTGGGCGGTAGGTTTGCATGGCCCATAACCACAGCCTGTCACATTCAACACCGATGCCCCCAGGAACTCGAAACACCACGGTCTCGACCGACATGGTACGCATCGATTTCACGGTAGTGTACGTACAACCTTCACACATGAGCTAGCTTGTAAAGTTTGCTGTCGAGCTCGAGCTCGGTCATACATTGGTTCGCGACGAGCTCATTCGGGCTGTGCGCGACAAGTTTGGTATCACGATCTCGTCATCGCGCATCGCCCTCCTCAAGAAGGGCACCAAGAAGCGCCAGGTAGCCACGATCAAGGACCAGTTTGCCAAGCTCTCGCCCTACCTCGAGAAGCTGGTCGAAGCCAACCCAGGGATGTACGCGGCCTTCACGAAGACCGGGTCATCTTGCCCCGGCGCATTTTGCGTCCCCGCTTGTTTCCGCCAAGACACCAAGATGTTCCTTCTACCCATCGTATTCCTCGGCGGTACCTGGTTGTTCATGACTCCATGGTTGGTTTCAAGCAACCTTAGCTCGTCCCATCAAAGACGACATGCGCGCCGTCGGCACCTTGCTTTCGGCAACGTCAAGGGATGGCAACGGCGACATCGTACCGATTGCCTTTGCCCTCGTTCAAGGAGACCTCGTCGACACCTGGGACTGGTTCTGCGCGCACTTGGCGTTGGCGGGTGTCGCCGATTTCATCGGTTGGTCATTCGTCTCCGACTGCCACCCAGGTTGGTGCAGTGGTAGTTGTGTGTTGGCTCGATGACATCTTCAGATCTCCTCCGTGCCGTACAAAAATACTTCCCGCGCGCGCGACACCGCTTCTGCATGCGGCGCATGATCGAAAACATCAAACGCTCGCAACACAGCGTCTCCCATACGGATGAAGGCGCGCTTTTCGCGCTAGCGAGCAGCAAAAACAGCGATGAATGCACGCGGAGAATGGCCGAGCTGCGGACGAGGAAGCCAGGTAAAACGCCCCTACGTGGGCATACAGTTACTTCCCGATCCGTAGCCGTGGCCGGGTACATGTCCAACATTCCCACACGACACTGGGCGACGTATGCCTCCATCAAAGACGGCTTTCCAACTTTTGACGCGGCGGCGTCCGAGTCCTCCGACTATTGGCTCGGAGCTGATCTCGGTGGCAGCGATCCGGTCGGAGTGTTCTACTTCTACCTCAGCCGCCTGAACGAGACTTTCAACGACCGACTCGAAATGCACTCGAAGGGGTCGGGCATTCTCACAAACATCGAAACCACGGCCTTCGGCGCCGTCTCAGTCGAAGCTCGCAACTGCACGGTATATTGCTGGCCCAGACGTACGCAAACCCTCTCACCACACTTGAACAGGTCACGGACCTTCGCACTGGCCACAGCTTCATCGTCACACACTCCAAGCACAGGACACCCGACAAGGCACGTTTGGTGGACATCACAGCCAAGGTAGTTCACGATGCGCTCGTTTGCTTTACCGCGCCATAGACTTGCCAGTGCGGGGCGTGGCAAGACCACTTAAAACCGTGCATGCACGCAGTCGCTGTCGCGATGTTCATCGGTGCCGAGCCACTCACGTGGTACCATACAGCCTACCGCCGCGATGCCTGCGTCTCTCTGTACTGCAACCCGCTGGTGCCTCTCCCACCCCACGACCTCTCTATGGACAGCGACATGGTCGTCAGAAAAATGCGACGACAAGCAAATGAATAAGGGAGACGCACACGACGCAATAGGCTGTGAATGTATAATACGAAAACAATCGACTTGCTGCTCTTTGTTGACCGGGCGCATTCCGCAGCCAAGTCGCCGGCCACCGCCAAGTCGTTAGCCGTTGGTCGAGTCGTTGGCCGCCGCTGCGTCGTTGGTCAACGGTATCTTGGACATTTGTGCTATCGGTACTAGCACCAGTAACGCATGTCAATGCTTTTTCGTACTTGACGACTTAGAGACAGGAAATAGACGCTGGTGGATTTGCTGTCATCCCAACCAGAGCTCGCCGCGTGAGTCAAAGCAACGGCAACGTTGAGCTACCGGTGCTACAGTACTTCCACGACGGCGCCATCTATCGATAAAGGTCCGTCGTGTCCAACAGAGTGATTAGCCTAAGCGACGCGTCGACTGTCGTCACCTCAGCACCAGTATTACGAGTTGCTAATACGCGCTGGAATTGGCACCCTTCGCATCCACAAGATCACCTGTGCACGGCTCCGTCAACAAGAGCTCTTGAGGCTTCGTGGGCAGTTGCCACTCATGGTCGTGTGGATGACCACCTCTACCGGAACGCGCTTTACAGATGTCGGGGACATGACGGTCGCCGCACTGGCTGCCTCTGACCTGCTGCGACGGTGAAGAATCCAGTGGCTCAGCTATCACTCGACTAAAGATCAAGTGGCGGCAGAAGAAGTGCGTGTGTGTGTGTATTACTATGATGGTGATGTGGTGATTCTACTTGCTTACAAGTGGCCGAGCTTCTTGAGCTTCTTCTCCAAGTTGATGAGCATGTCTTCGACCATCGCGTCGAGCTCAAACTGCTCCTTCCAGCCCCAGTCCTTGCGCGCGACGCTGTCGTCAATCGAGCGCGGCCAAGTGTCGGCAATGGCTTGGCGGAAGTCCGGTTCGTACGTGATCGTGAAGTTGGGAATGACCTTCTTGATCGACTCGGCGAGCTGCGCCGGCGTGAACGAGAACGACGTGACGTTGTAGACGCGCTGCGAGAGCGAGTCCGACGACGCTTCCAAGAGCTCGTTCGTCGCGCGAAGGCAGTCGGGCATGTACATCATGGGGAGGCAGGCGTCGGGGCCGAGGAAGCACTTGTACGAGCCCGTCTTGAGCGCTTCGTAAAAGATCTCAACCGCGTAGTCTAATCGTACAAGGTTGATGAGTGGTGTCGCATGGACCAAGCAAGCAGACATACCGGTGGTGCCACCACCCGGCCACGCCTCGGACGAGATGATACCGGGGTACCGGATCGAGCGGAAGTCCACACCGTACTTCTCGTGGTAGTATTCACCGAGGAGTTCCAAATGCACCTTGGTGATACCGTACCTACCCACGTTGCAGCCAGGTGAGCATCCCATGATGCGAATATGCTGGCACGTACATGGTCGTCGGGCGCATGATGGTCAGGTCCGGGGTCATGTCCTTGGGCGTCGACGGGCCGAAGACAGCCTGGTGGGATAGCATCGTGAGCCATCGTGTTGTGAGCCACAGGACAAGGTCGTACGATCGTCGACGGCGCAAAGACGCGGAGGTTGTTAAGGCGGGCAAGCTCCAAGACGTTCTCAAGGCCGCGCGTGTTGACCTTGAGCGCGAGCTGCGGGTTCTTCTCGCCGATCGCCGAGAGGAGCGACGCGTTATGGATGATGGTATCGATGCCGTTCTCGAGCACAATGCGGGCGAGGCTACAAGGACGTGAGTCGGTCAT